TTCCTGTGAATGCCCAAGTGTGAGCTACCCAAACTGCGGCACAGTTACAGCTTCTTCATAAGTGCAGCTAGGTCGAGCTTCCTGTGAATGCCCAATTGTGAGCTACCTAAACTGCTGCACAGTTACAGCTTCTTCATAAGTGCAGCTAGGTCGAGCTTCCTGTGAATACCCAAGTGTGAGCTACCCAAACTGCTGCACAGTTACAGCTTCTTCATAAGTGCAGCTAGGTCAAGCTTCCTGTGAATGCCCAAGTGTGAGCTATACAAACTGCTGCACAGTTACAGCTTCTAGCTCCATGCCTGACTGGATCTCAGCAGGGCCTTCCAGTTTTGATTTTTCTTTTTAATTTGGAATGACTTCTAAAACCCAAATCTTACCACGACCCACTAGAGGCAATTATATTGTCAGCTGGAAAAGGATCTCACGGGGGCGGCGGGATTTTAAATGTGCTCCGTTAAGCATCAGAATATGACTCAGCAACCAATCACTTAAAGTGCAGCCTGAGATGACAATTTAAATGATAGGACTAAACCCTGAGGAAAGGCCAAAGCCATTAGTCGGTAGGTACGATTCCACATTTTCGCTTTAGTTTGGGAATAAATTTAATCTTTGACTCCAACATGCTCTGCAAATTACAACTTTGCTTTAATAGAGGATATTGCCTCGGCATGAGTTTTCCTGCCTCCCGACCCCTGAAAAAAGCAAAATCATGAAGAATTGGGTTTGTTCTGTGTGATTAGTGGTAAATCATTGTTTTGCTCTTTTCATCTCTGCATTTCAAATAAGCTTTTACTTCAGATACTGACGTCATCCCTTGGCTGGCTCTGGTGGACCGAACCGGATGCTTTAATGTGTTTTTCTTTAATTACTACTCTACGATATATTGTAGCCCAATTACAGTTGATGACAAAAAAAGAATTTTGATCAGTACTGTCAGAGGTCTCCAAGCCAAACCTTCCAAGGCCAAAATGTCTTTATTTGGTCACTTGTATAATGTAAAAGGCAGAAATTAATGGAATGATCTACTCATAACGACAATAATGGATGTTGCCTTTGTTTCTAGCAGCAGGCAAGTGCCAAGGAAATTTCCTGGATGTTTATTTTTATTTTGTGCCCCCATTTGGCTTGTGGGAGTTTTACTTATAGAAAAATGTTCTGAGGGCATAAGGAACAATGATTGATTCAGAGAGATAACCAATCAAATTGTAGAAGAGGTGGGTCCAGGCAACTAGAAGAGGCGGGACCAAGACAAATGATTGGTTGGTCCCATCTCCTCTATTTGCTTGGACCCACCTCTTCTACAATTTGATTGGTTATCTCTCTGAATCAATCATTGTTCCTTCTGCCCTCAGAACATTTTTCTATAAGTAAAACTCCCATGAGCCCCCAGTAGTCACCAAAAATGGATTCCATTGTAGATATGTGTTACTAGATTTGCTAGAATGCTAGATTTTTACCATCTAGATTTAGTAGAACTCTTTTTGGATGAGTGAACCCACAAAATAATATGGGCGACACACACTCACAGATACCCTCCCAAACTAGAAACTTATTTAGTCTGTATGTTGGTTAATTGTCAGTTGGTTAGCAGAGAGATTTAAGGACCTTGGTATAAAATTGGAATTTAGGAAATTAACGTAAAGCTTTTTTTTTCCCCTCAGGATTCGGTGAACGGTTCTGGTTAGGACTAACTGTTTCGCAAGCTGTTCACACCTCAGCCTGAATTCTCGGTCACCGTGTGAAGGATGGGGACACGGCGATGCCGGGAACCGCACTGGTACGACGTGGTAACCGACCGCAGCAGGCGCGAGCCAAGTGAGGAGCTGTGGAACTGTGGGAGCGGGGAGGGAAAAAAGCAGAGAGCGCGTGGAATACTGGTAGCCTTCTGTGGTTCGGAAGGGCCCCGCCCAGCACGGTCAAACCCCGCGTGCCTCCCACAGCCCGTAAACAAGTCGCCTGAGGGCCTAGTTTAAGCTCTGTGTTGTCCTTATTAAAACACAGAGGAGGTGCTGTGCTGCTTCAGCTGCCTTGGCACAGAGAACAAAACAGGAGAGACAGACTGAGACAGGTTTCTATAACAGCAGAATATGTGGGTCATGTGACTGAGACGGTCACCAAGCCAGATCTGCAGCCAAACGGGGTTTGAGGACCTCAAGTGTGTTGGCTTTTTTTTTCTCTGCAAGAAGAGAGAAAAATCCTTAAAAACAGGAGACTGACCGTCTCTCTCTCTTTCTTTCTCTCCCTCCCTCTCTCTCTCTAATTTCTTTAATTGCAGAATGTGTGGGTCATGTGACTAAGACGATAACCAAACCACATCTTCTGCCAAACAGGGTTTAAGGACCTCGAGAGGAGAAAAATCCTAATGAACAGGAGACTGACCATCCCCCTCTCTCTCTTTAATTTCTTTAATTGCAGAATGTGTGGGCCATGTGACCGAGACAGTCACCAAACCAGATCTTCAGCCAAACGGGATTTGAAGACCTCGGGAGGAGAAAAATCCTTAAGAACAGGAGACTGACCATATCTTTCCCTCTCTCACTGTCCACCAAAGCATAATTATATGTCATCAGTGTGACTCTTCATTTTTACTGAGGCCTTCACACATGGATGAGCTGGCAGCTGGGAGATCGACTTTTTCAAGTTTCTTTAATTGCAGAATGTGTGGGTCATGTGACTGGGACAGTGTGAGTGTCCTGCTTTGTTTATTTCTGTTGGGGTTAGGACACAGTTAGACGGTAGAATCTCAGAAGAATCTCAGGAATTGCAACAGTGGTTGTACTCTAATTATTGAATCATTAATTTAATACACAATTGCTTGATCATTTATTGGTATGCAGACACAAGAGGCTGCAGTAGATTGGAACTCACACACTATGCATCTCAATTAATATAGACGTTGCTCTCAAAAGCCACACGAAGAGAAAGTAGCTGCTGCGTTCAAAAGCTTTAAATGGCAGAAGATAGTTAAAGCAAAGACCACATCACATGGGGAGAGCTATGCTTGCAACTTGTAATTATGTTTGAATTGTGGTAACCAGAAATAATTACTTCTATTTTTTTTTTTTGCAGCGATTCACATAGTCTGAGATACAAGTCTGCTTCACATGGTTCCACTTTGCAAGCTTTCAGGGAAACAAACAAATTGCCCCCAATTGGTTGAGCAGACATTTTGACCCGAGGGCTAGACGTACGATCAATAATGGGTGGCAAATGGAAACTGTTATTTAAGCCGGCTTTAATAGCTGATTCATGGTTCCTCTTTGGAACTTTAATAAAACGTTTATATGGCTGTGCGGCATCGGTATATTGAAATGTGGCGAAGGCTCGACTGCATGGGGTGTATAAAGTCTTTCTGGAGGTCTAACCGACGAGGAAAAGCTATACAACATGAAACAGTAGTCATCAGAAGATTTAGCCGCTAATTCGGCATCTGTACTACATTATAAATAAAAGCCAGAACGTTCAGAGTAGTTCAGAATAGTGGGATTTTGAGTATGAAAGCATTTGTATTGCAGCTAACAGCCTGTCTTTGTCATGGCGGCTACAATTAAACCTCTGATAGCTCTGGTACCGCTGTTAGAGCTGTGATCTCACCACGGTGTTACTTTATTAAACAGGTGTGTAGGCTTTCTGAAAGGAGCCTCTGACTGCCAGAACTGTCCCGACATGGAGTGACTTTTTTTTTATTTAATTTTTTTTTCAATAGAGCGAACTGTGTTGTTATTGTTCTGTTCATCTTGGGGGGCCCAGACCAACGAGACCTGAAAAGAAGGTTCCAGAAGAAGGGTCCCCTTTGCTGGATCGCAGAGGGTAAAGCGTTGGTGGAGGCTGCCAGGTCACATCTCTCTCCCACACGCCTTTTCTCTGCTTTTCTCCAGGGCAGAGTCACAGTGGTTTTCTCAGTCTGGACCTGGGGCTGCAGGGGACACCTTTGTTTTTGTGATAATTTTGTGTCTCTGAGAGCATTAATACATTTTCTACATATACTTGCTGGGTGCAGGTGTACCAATGATACCAATGATAATGTCATTAATGCATATACCAAATTCCAATACAGCACCTGCCTAGTATCAGACTTACACAAATATAAAAATATATAGACTGAAAACATATACTGAAATATAGTACGCTGATTGTTTTTGTTTTCCATTTATTTCACAATACATGTCACAGGTCTATTTCTGCTTCATGTACATGAGGCTATTATGCAGAAATCTTATTACTGAAATATATTACAAGGAGGTTTATTGCATATAAAGTCACGTACATGTGTATGAAGTGATATATGTAATACGTGATATCATATTAAGAGTGGAAATGGCATTTTTGCTTATTTTTGGTAGAAGAACGTGGGTTTGATGGCTGGGGGCTAGAAGCTTCTGCTGAAATTTGCGGAATGATATCCCAGGTCGGCAGATGAGTTTAGAAACCCGGTGTGGCGAGTGACTGCATTAATAAACGGGGGATGTAGCTAGAGGTGGTGAGGTTACGCTGTGTTACCTCACTCCCGTAAAACTTTATTAGTTTCACACAATGAATGACCCAGTCATGCTGAAGTTTTTTTTTTTTTTTTTTAAGGAAACAAAGAGCTTTTGGCTTCTTTATAAAAAGGAAAGTCTGTAAGACACTAAGCATTTCTGAAAGTGGGTTTCAGGCTGGGGGGGGGGGGGGCTCATGAGGGAGACTTATTCTTCTTTTAAAACAAACTCACCATAAATCCACGGTATTAAAACGAGTGAGTCCAAGAGCACGTCATAGTATTAAAGATCCCTTTAAAAAGGTAGAAATCACAGGCTTGATGCTATGGAACGTCACACTGGCGCCCCGTTTGAGCAGGTGCCCAGCTCTGGCTACGTATTTTCAGCTAATCCATTATAATTAACATGTGATTCTCCAGGAAGAATAAGACATTGGGTTTCTGGACGCAGTGAAACCATTTGAGCTTGTGGGGTAGACATTTGTTTCTATTAAAAAATACAAAGATTATGGCCATTTAAAAAAAGTACATTTCTTCATTGCATGTTTGATGAAATGCATGGATCATTGCAGACAGGAAGTATTCCATGACTCCTGGTTATTAAAAATCCGTGTTTGGCAAGGCGGAAGAATGGGTCGCCGGATGGAAGGCTCTCTGCTCAACTTCGTTTCAGTTTCCGTCCGCAATGATGAGGAAATGAAGAAGAATTTTCACAAATCCGATTGCAGAGTGAAACTCTGGCTGTATCATCATTTGTGTACTGTGTGCTTCATTATCTGCATGGATTAGCAGGAGTGCTGTGGGACCTTCGCTAATGGGGGCTACGGTGGTCTTCAGTACCCGGCCATTCCAAACAGGATATCCGTGGGACTTCAGTGCATCCCAGATGGAACAGTAGGGAAGGGACGGTCAGTGGAACATCTGCATCGCTCCCCAGGGTCACGCCCACTCATCCACTATTAACCACCGCGACTGTAAACAACGACTTCCACAAAGGGGCCCCAGTGCTCCCCATGCTAACAGCTGCTGCATTCTGATAGGAAGGAGTGTTGACTCATGGAGGATGGTCATGTGACAGCTGTGGCCTCCAGCTGACAGTGACATTTAGCCTGACAGCCCGGAGGCTGATGTAATGAGGAGGACGTTTACCCAGCTCAGTGGACCGGCTTATGGTGTGATACAGCTGTTGTGTAGCTGTGAGTGTTATCATGCACAGGTTTACCCAGGTTGAAGCCTATGATTTTTCCCCTTTTTTGTGTCCGGATCCCCCGGTTGACAGCTTTACTTGTTGCTACCCCCGTACGTCAAAAATAGTCGGAGGGCCCTCTGACCATGTTAACGTGCGTCTGTGTGTGACGCACAGAGATGAAAGCGGTGGCGTTGTGCTGGCGTGGCCTGCGAGAGGCTCTGGGGGATTCGGACACAGATCACTGCCAAATGCTCGCAGGTGGGAAATGCCTTCACCTTTAGCACCCGGGTCTTTATTTCACATCACCGGTGCAGAACCGTTGCTTAACAAGCTGGGACAATGTGCAACGTTGTAACAGCGCGATCCTCAAGGGTATGTCAGAAACCATCATGCGGCCGTTCTGTCTGTCTTGGATGGGGAAACAAGCTGCAGCAAAAATCTAATTAAGGGAGCCCAAAATTGTACAAGAGATTCATCCATCCATCCATCAATCCATCCATCTTCCAAAAACAGGGCTGCATCGAGTCTGTTTCCTATCCCAGTAATATACAGCAGAGGGCACCTTAGAGGGACCACTCCATGGCAGGGTACAACCCCCCAGACTCAGAAACATGGCGTCAGACTACTGAACTCTCAGCCCCCCCCCCCCCCCCCCACCACACACACACACACACACACGCACGCAATGGACAATTAATAAGTGAGTTACGTCCAGCAGTATAAAAACACTTACAGAATGACATTGTACCTACATTTCACATTGTGTCTGAGACGTCACTCAGATGGTCAGGCTCCCACAGTTCCTGTTGCTGGGGTGTTTGGGAAAGAGATTAACAGGAAGTGCTGGACCGCTGGGGGAGTGTCAGGTGTGATGCATGACTGCGGGCCAAAGGTGCGACGCCGATGTCCGCTAATTGTTCCACACAGGAAACACCCCCCCACGGCTCCTGTGAAATGACATCAACATGAAGACAAGGAGATCACAGCGAAAAGCTTGCCGGGGTCATAGGAGCATCTGTCGGAGTCCCTAGCGGAGCTTCTGCCGCAGTATTTACGTAGCCTGGGAAATGCGACAGTGCTGCATTCACGTCACCTCCTGGCGTAGGGGTGGGGATGGGGGTTGGGGTCATGAAAATGCCTCAGCCTCAGCGGCACTGAGACCATTCGGGAGGGGAGCGGGTCCAGTTCAGTTGCAGTTTTGGACAGATTTTCAGCCTGTGTAGAAGCCGAAGGAGGAGGACCAAGCGGGTGGGTGTGCGTCTCCTGTGTGGGTTCACACCTGGCTGCCCGTGTGACAGATCTCCCTGCCAGAACTGGCTTGTCTCCGCCGTGCGACATTCCTGACCAAGTGCGAAAAGTGCCTTGGCGCTGATGCTGGTGAATATCGCTACACGAGCAGACGTGGGTTCTGGGACAAACGTGGGCTTGGCTGTCCGGTAAGCCCCATATTTAGGAGATACTGGGTACCTCAAGGATGAGGTCAGCATTTAATAAGAGTGTCAGCATTATATACCCATCCATTTTCCAAATCTCATATCTCATTGCAGGGTTATGGGGCCCCAGGCCACAGGGAAGGTGAACACCCAGGTTGAGGAGCAGGGAAAATACTCACAGAAAAGTCGATGGGCAACTTAGATACTAAATCCCCAAGAGGAAACACCACAAGTCCAGGAATCAAACATCCAACTCTAGAAATGTGTGTCTGTACTGGTAACCCAAAGCCATTTCCATTCACTCTTATGGGCAAAATTATCATTTATTCCAGGTCCAATCGAGAAACACCAAATTAATCTCCCCAAAATATCCCCAACACTCGCAAACACCTTTTTGCATTTTCAAAAAACAACGACAGCAAAAATAAAAACCAATAAAATGTCCCTGCTCCGGCGGACTGCTGCTGTAACGTTTTGTAACCATTAATTCACATCCTAATTTGTAATATGTCCCACTCAGACGTCTTCACAGCTTGTTAAGGTGGGAAATTTGATACCGAGAACTGGAATACTGGGACAGAGGCGAACTCATTTATATGGGTCTTTTTTGTGCTGAGTAATGTAACAACACAGGATGGTTCTGTTTTCCACGGTTCTGCTTTCCATCCAGAGGGGGCGCTGTATCCAGCCACTCGGCTACTATGGTTTCCATTTGGTTGCTCAGTGATGAACCTTTTCCTGTTGTCCAGAGCCATCTGCTGCCTCGCTCACCCAGAATGCTCCTCCACTTCCCTTGAAGTGTGTGCGGTCTCTGGAAATCCTTGCTGAGCCCCTGTGCTGCTACATTCACCCCCTGCAGCAGGCAGTACGGACCAGCGGTACGACATGACCGACAAATCACCTCCGATGGTCTCCTCGCCTGGAAAGAGAGCTTCCACATTCTGTAGCACAGTTTTCCTATAGTCTGGCAAGGAGTGCCGACTGCAGTACTGCGCGCTAGGCTTACTGCTGAATTGCTTTTCAACCACTCATTAAGAGACAAAAGAGCATTTCTCGGTACACAAATACTTGTTTTTCTCAAGAACAAACAAAGCTTAAAACAAAGAGTGACACTTTAAAAAATCGTCACTTTTTATTTAAATCCAAAATGGTTCTGCAAATATTTTAATCACATTTTCTAAGCTAGTAAAAAGAACAGAAGGCTAAATAAACTTTACAGTGTTCAGAACGGCTTGTCCCTTCCAAAGCATGATAGTGGCTTTAAAGAGCTTTTTCTGTTGTTTTTTTTGTTTGTTTGTTGTTATTCTGCAGACGTTTCTTGCGCCTGCTGTGACCTCTTCTCATGTGGGGATAAAAGTCAGTTTGTTCAAGCATCCCTCTGTTTTCTGTAACCACTTACCGCCGTTGAGCCTGGGAAGTGAAGGGCTCGGGGTTGAGGAGCATCTTGGAAAAGATGCCAGTCCTTTCGTGACTATGTCATGCAATTAGTGAATTATCCATTGTATTCATTTAGCAGACACTTCCTGTCAAAGCAACATGCATTTCTGTTGTGGAAGCAGTCAGGAACAGCCAGTTGCTTAGGCAATTGGGGGTTAAGGGCCTTGCTTAGGGGCCCAATGGTGGAGTCACACAGCCAACCCTGAAATTTGAACTGGTGACCTTCTGGTCACAGGTACAGTGTCCTAATGCATTGACACCCCCCCAGATCACAGTGACAACAGATACCCATGTAAAATCGCAAAAATGTCCTGTGTATTTTAAGCCATAAAAATGATGAGGAGACATAGCCATTTTCATTTCAAAGTCAAGTTTATTGTCACAGTGCACATGCACAATGAAATGAGGATGCAGGTGCACTTAGTGCAAGCAATACACATAGTACTAGTGTGCAAAAAAAAAAAACCATATAAGTTGTATAAGGACAAACAGATCCATGCCACATGAGGGTCAACCGTAATCCTAACCCTAGCCCTAAACCTAACCATAACTCTAATCCTAATCCTAACTCTAATCCTAATCCTAGCCCTAATCATAACCGTAAACCTAACCCTAAACCTCTTGGTTTTGC